CACCTTAAACTTGACTGAAGCCATGTGTAGTATAGAGAAAATGAAGTATCTTGGTCAGCTTTGCTTACTGTAGGTAAGTTTTCCGAGCACTTTAGCAACTATCCAATCCAGGTCCCAGAAGACCGGGCAACGTTATAGGTGACCTAATTTGAAACGTATTGCGGCACTGACAAATCGCCGTGGTTCGTTCCGACTCTTCGGGTCAAATTCTCCTCGTCGTCCAAGATATCCTTTGCAGCGGCCGAGACCACTGAACGCCGGGTGTCACTACAGTCGAACAATATAGGAATAATGTTTTCCTCAGCAGAGAAGAAGTGACGCCAACCCTGTATTTTTCCACTGCTAAATTGATTATGGAAAACCTATTGTGAACAAATCGACTTAAATCAAACACATTGAATCCGCCCAGGACGACAGCTTCAGTTCCGTCAAAGTGAAATCGTGGCTGTACGTGTCAAGAGGATAAGTGAAGAAAAGTCTGCGATGAGTCGCCGCTGGGTTGGCAGTTTGGACAAATCAAGATCACGGGGGTACTAAATTCGATGTTACATTTCCAAAGAACGGCAGACTGATATGTAAAAGTGCATCTCACTGGCAAACTGGCTTCTGATCCGTAAGCGAGGCAAACAAAACAGAGAGCAATTTGACTTGTTGCGGAAATGGAAGGCGAGGACGTCTCACCCGGATGTACACATGAGACAAGTTGACCAGAAACACCAAATGGGAAGGGTAATACCTGACATGCGGTTGTGATTTAGGTGAAATGAATTATAGGTATCCAGGGGTCCTTCGAATGACGGACTTTTGTAATCCAATTGTACTGACTCAAGTTTTTCGTAGTTTTCTCATACTAAATCGACTTATGCCAATGTCTTCACTCATTCAAACTAATTGAATTTGGTTCTCGCTTACGGTTTGCGGATGCGTACATATGATGTCAGATTTAATCACAAGGGACCAAATTTTCGTCTTAGGGTCAAAACAGGTGCCTAATAGTACTGAAGTGCCTTGGATACATACCCTCCCTAGCTTACTACTTTGGATGAATAAGTTGGGGGGTTAGTTTAAACGGATACTTGTAACGAAAAATGCTTTTCACGCTAAAAACAAGTTATGCACTATGCTCCGTAGTTAGAGCGTGAATTTACTGGCTGGAAGGTCCGTGGTTCGAACCTGACCGCTGCATCTCGACTGCTCCTGTCTGGGCTAGGGTTAACAAGCAGTATCCCAACCCTCGTGCTTCCTTCGAGTGGAATGGAAGCTAGGCACGGAAAGGGTGTCACAGCTGAGCGATTTATTTTTAATAACCGCAAGAAAGCCAAGGACTCAGATGAACCATGCAGTTATAAGTTGCCGGTGAAGAGCCTCAATTAGAGATTGTCGTTCCTCTGGGGTACGCAGCTTGACTCTGATCATGCCATCGTGCGGGCCTGGTCTTCACTTCGCTTTCCGTCAGCATTACGTGTACCAAAGCAGGGCAGTTCCATCTATCAACTCCGACAATTTTCAGTAGCTGAAAAGTATCAAGATGACCTCGCTAGATAACCACTGGATGCGCACAGTGATGAAGATGACGAAGATTGCTTGGAGGCTGAATGGAAGTGGGTTAAAGAAGCAATGCTCTCAGCTTTCAGAACTGTTTGTCCAAGTCGTCTGACTAGACCAAATGAACAGTGAATATTGTCGGGATCAGCAGATTTTATTGCGGCCAGAAAGGTCATACTATGATGGCGCAGCAGATTCCTCAAACATAGGATAATCAAAGGCTTGAAGAATGACGCGCTAGGGGATTATTGCGGCCAGAAAGGTCATACTATGATGGCGCAGCAGATTCCTCAAACATAGGATAATCAAAGGCTTGAAGAATGACGGAGAACGCTAGTGGATTTCGAAGGCCCAGAAGATGGAGAAGGCTTTCACTGCAGGCAGCCGCACCGTGTTTCAACTGATTCGATCGACTGGTCAAAAGAAGGCAGGTGTTAGTGAAACAATACGCGAAAAGGACGAAACAGCAATTCACTTCTTCAATCATCTTCATGAGTAATGGGCTGAATACTTCAAAGTTCAGCTGGTCTGCTACAACACAATCACTGGAAGGACCCAGTGAACCTGAATGGAACATCGACACCAGCCCACTGTCAAAAACAGAAATCCTTAAGCAAGACAAGGTGTCTGGCGCGGATGGTCTGTCTCCGGACTCTTCGTAGGTGGCGGGGTCATGGTGAACAGTCAGAAATCTGACAAAATGAAAACCAGATACCAGCTAAAATGGAGCTCATCAACCGTCATCCGTATCCGGAAAGAACGCAAGAACGTCATGCCAAACTCATCATAGCATCAGGCTGGTATCCGTCTCATCCAAGGTGTTCTCTGGCATTATTTTGCATGGGTTGTTTTCCATTACCGGAAAAGACATATTCGTGAGAATCAAGCTGGGTTTCGCCCTGGTTGAGGGTGCATAGGCCATAGCTTTACCTTGAGACAAATTCTTGAACAGCGCTACCGCTTCAATCCGTGAAAACCAAGCTGGGTTCCGTCCTGCAAGAGGTTGCATCGACCATATCTTCACCCTCCGACAGATTCTGGAACAGCGACACTGCTTCCAGCAACCAACAATGGTCGTTTTTCTTGACCTGAAAGCTGCCTTTGACTCTGTGGACCGCCAAGCACTATGGCAGTGTCTGTGGAGCAAAGGTGTCCCCCATAAATTCTTGAACCTCATTAAGGCGCTGTACGCCAACTCCCGCGACCGTGTAAAGGTCCAAGAGAAGCTCTCTCCTGAGTTCACCACATCAAGTGGTGTCCGACAGGGTTGTC